CTACTAACAAACTTGACTTCTTACACTGGATTGGTTTTGGACAACTTGGTTTCATTCAACCCTTTACACAGATTAGGTTGTAGGAGGTTTCTACTAACAAATTTGACTTCTTACATTAGATTTGTTTTGGACAACTTGGTTTCATTAAACCCTTTACACAGATTAGGTTGTAGGAGGTTGGTACTAACAAACTTGACTTCTTACATCGGATTTGTTTTGGACAACTTGGTTTCATTAAACCCTTTACACAGATTAGGTTGTGGGAGGTTTGTAAGAAAGTAAACATTTTCCTAAATCGAAAATGTATTTCCAATAATCTTACCTCCTCTCACACAACAGTTATTAGTTTATTGGTAGGGTTTTCTTCCTTTGCCCATCTATGCATTGGTATGATTTTTTCTTGCTTGCTCCAGTCTTTTATTCCCCACTTAGTTGCCCTTGGCGATATCTGTCACTCTCCACCTATGTCAATCTGCCCTCTATCATGGTACTGTATATATGCACTTCATTCAGATAATATTATCACAATCTGCAGTCTCTAATACCGGCTCCTAGTGGGGAGGAAGGGTGGGAGAGAGGAAATAAGTATTACTGGAAATACATTTTCGATTTAAGAGAATGTGAACTTCCAAAACATATGTACCTCCTCTCTTACTACAGCTAGAATATCACAAGAGACTTGATTTCTTACATCGTATTGGTTTTGGGCAAATTGGTTTCATTCATCCCTCTACACAGATTAGGTTGTTGGAGGTTTGTACTAAGAAACTTGACTTCTGACATCGGATTGGTTTTCTTATACTGAGAATAAACCCCTTACAGGGGTTGTGTAAGACTCAAAACTTTCCAAAGGTTAGGTTGTGGGCAGGTACTATAGAGAACCCAACTTATTATATGTGTCCATTTGATAGTAGCCAAATAACATAATGTTTTCACTCACTTCATTTTGATCTTCAGCTTGCTTGTGTACAAATTTTTCACTATTTACTTTTAACAATGAAAGTTCTGTTTTAAATGAACTATTATTTGTAAACATCCTTAGGAATAAAACTTTGTCTACAATGAATGACTAATTCATACATTAGAAATCATAGTCAACATAAAAGAGAAAATATTTATCATTCAATAGTTACCATGTTGTTTAACTACCTATTCATCATCATCAATAGTTACCATGTTGCTTAACTACCTATTTATCATTCAATAAGTCACCATGTTGTTTAACTACCTATTTATCGTTCAATTGGTTACTATATTGTTTAACTACCTATTTATCATTCAATAAGTCACCATGTTGTTTAACTATCTATTTATCATTCAATTGGTTACCATATTGTTTAACTACTTATCTATCACTTAATAAGTTATCATGTTTCTTAACTACTTATCTATCATTTAGTAAGTTACCATGTTGCTTAACTACCTATTTGTCATTCCATAAGTTACTACATTGCTCAACAACCTACTTATCATTCAGTAAGCTACCATCTTCCTTAAATACTTATCTATCATTCAATAGATTACCATGTTGCTTAACTACCTATATATCATTCAGTAAGTTACCATGTTGCTTAACTACCTATCTATCATTCCATAAGTTACCACATTCCTCAACAACCTACTTATCATTCAGTAAGTTACCATCTTTCTTAAATACTTATCTATCATTCAATAGATTACCATGTTGCTTAACTACCTATATATCATTCAGTAAGTTACCATGTTGATAAATACCTACCTATCATTCAATAAATACCATGTTTCTTAACTACCTATATATCATTCAGTAAGTTACCATCTTCCTTTAATACTTATCTATCATTCAATAAGTTACCATGTTGCTTAACTACCTATATATCATTCAGTAAGTTACCATGTTGCTTAAATACTTACCTATCATTCAATAAGTTACCATGTTTCTTAACTACCTATATATCATTCAGTAAGTTACCATGTTGCTTAAATACCTACATATCATTCAATAAGTTACCATGTTTCTTAACTACTTATCTATCATTCAATAAGTTACCCTGTTTCTTAATTACCTATTTATCATTCAGTAAGTTATCATTTTGCTCTAATAAGTATTTATCATTCAATAAGTTACCATGTTACAATGTTGCTTAACATTCTATCTATCAATCAATAAGTTACCTAGTTACCATGTTGCTTAACTACTTATCTATGATTCAATAAGTTACCTAGTTACCATGTTGCTTAACTACTTATCTATGATTCAATAAGTTACAAAGTTACCATGTTACTTAACTACTTATCTATGATTCAATAAATTACCAAGTTACCATGTTACTTAACTACCTATTTATCATTCAGTAAGTTGCCATTTAGCTTTAATACTTACTTATCATTCAATAAGTTACCTAGTTACCATGTTGCTTAACTACATATTTATTATTCAGTAACTTACCATGTTTCTTAACTACCTATTTATAATTCAGTATGTTACCATTTTGCCCTAATAATCATTTATCACTCAATAAGTTTCTTAACTACCTCACTGAAGGGTATTTTTTTTTCATTATGATGTTGTACTTTACATGTCGGTGTAATCTGATCCTTAACATCACAAACAGATTCATTCTTGTGATATTCTTTATTAGCCACCATCTCAGATGCTTTTTCATTCACAGCCTGCAATAAAACAGCATGAACCATTAACTCTAACCATTTTCCTCAGAATAGTTAATTTTATAACATATTAAAGCTAACATAAAAAATCAAGAGCCTCATAAATGTTTTTTAATAGTTTTTAGGCTTAACTATCAGGAATTGAACTTGGAAAATATAATTTCATGCTCCTTCAGACAAAATTAAACATAAATTTTTGAAAAGGATATTCATTACTTTTTCTATGCAACACAGTCCATGGGTTATTATTTTTCAATGGTAATATTGTTACGTCTCTGTTCGTTTGTTAATTTTCCGTAAAAATTCCTTCTGAAGAACTTCAGCAATACAAGTCCTTTTTAAATAAAACTAGTTTAATCTTTCTCATTACAACTTTGCAATACACTTAATTTCCATAGTCACTTAACTTAAATACACGCTATAATTCACAACGATTCACGCACTTTACTTATGGTCACTACCGCTCACTTGACTCGATTATCTGTCTATATCTCCCTATCTGCCATTATCTCCGCTTTATTTGCCAGGCTTATATATTAAAATAGAGGGCGCCTGGAAAAGACTAAAGTTGCCAAGAAAAGTCATGATCCTTCTAGAAACTCATGACCTATTACCAGCGTCACGTGACTTCCGCTGTCGTAACAGAATGATAAAATAAGCCTATTCAAATCACTATATACGATGAAAAGAGCAAACTTGTTTTTTTTTATAGTTTTGAAAAGTATTGCTATAGTATATCTTTAATTTTTGTACAATTTCCCATCCTAATCTATTTGTTACTTAAGTTGTTAGTTGCAGGGCTATTTTTAAGAAGAATATGACTCCTAGTATGCAATGAGGGTTGTCTGCTTTAGATTGTAAATTTAATGGTTCATAAGACGATGATAAATTTTCATCAGTAGGTAGCATTGTTTTCTAATAGGTGCCAAACTTGCAGCCCTTAATTTTTATTTCAATTTCATAGACTTCTTAAGAGTCCATTTTACTTTTGTTCTGACTACATTTTGTTCTTCGCATGTTTAATATATGGGAATTATTGTGTGTCAGCTACTATGTCTTGTGTCGGATTTCTTAAGTAACAGCATAGGTTAAGCCTTTGTTCTGTTGACGTTGGTGACTACTGAAGGGTATTGGTGTGCTTGGTTGTGGAGTTATACTACTTTGACCTCTTTGAACACATTGTTATACATTTTATTTGTTTCTTTGTTGTTGTTGTTTTTTCTAAAATATTGTTCCACAACAAGGTTTTAGCAAACGCTAATTAAAATTAACCGAATAGTGTTCAGCTTTTGATCAACTAGTAATGAGGTGTGTTTTATACAGTTGTATCGAACAACAAAATACCTTCGAGTTTCATGTTTTCCTAACAAATTATATTGTAATTGAGAACAGTTTAGAACATTGTTATAGTTTTCCAAGTGTGACTTAAAAAAATGCGTTGAACTTCTTAAACACTAGCCCGATTTTGTCAGTTTAGTTTAAGTAGAAATTTCTATTTCTTATTTTTTATTAATCAGTTTGTTTGAATTTTTAAACAATAACGTGGTTATGTAAGTTTAGCTAAACTATAGCGTTCCATTTTATATTTTCGATTAGCAAATTTTGTAACTTTAAGGCAAATACATCACAGTATTTTTACTTTTGCAGGGGCTTCTGTAGTTGCCGAAGAGAGGGTAAGAATGTTTCAATCGCTCTTTAATATTATTAACTGATTTAAGAATGATTTACGAAATAAGTTTTACGGAATATTCTACAACCAAACTTTCCTACCCCATCTTCATCTGAAAAACGTTTAAATAACATGAAAACACATCAATTAAATTGGTAATATTTAACAAAATTTCTCAAACGTGTTAATTATTAGAATTCATTTTATTGCCTTTTTTGTACTTGGAATAAATTGTATATATGTGGTAAAAACAATTTGTTATACTGCATGAATTATTTACGTATGTGCGTTTTCATTGAAACCGAATTTTAATAGTGGAACGATTAGATATCAATTTAAAAACACAAGAAGCGGAAGATAATTCTTCTTGTATTAAACTGTTTTAAATCAATACAACTTTCATGAACCAGCATATGTTTTTTCACAACATTTTTTTTAACCTGAAGATGCATGTTAAATAGTGCAAAAATTTAGGTTAAAAGAAAAAACATCATTCATTATTTAAGAAACCCGATCTCTTTCGATTGAGAAGTCTTTCTCCAGGAATGAAATGCTCTTCAGTTAGTGTGGTTTTTGAATTGTAATTTTCTATTTTTTTATACTTACAGTAAACATACATATGTGTTAAGCTCTTTTTCTTCTTCTCCTTTTTTTATTTTTATTTCTTACTGCTTCCTTATAGTTTAGACGCCAAATAGGTGGCTCTTCACAAGATATTGTTGGACATTCTCCCTCACAAGCTGGTGGATATCAAAGACAAATTGTTCCACAGTACGGCCCTCCACAACCTGGTGGCGCACCTGCCGGTTTGGGACCTCCACCTGTTGATCTACCAAATGCACGTTTTGTCTATTTATTTTTACTATTGGGACCAGTAACGTGTTTTGGAAGTTATCAGTTGTATGAACATGGAATTAACTTATATTATTCATGTTCTTAGTTTTTGTTTAATACCCATTCCAACAAAAAAAGAAATCACAATTTGTCATTCAACGCAGACATTCACACATTGAAGTTATTTCTCTATCCAAGAAACACAAGTTTTCTCGCAATAATTAATAATATCAAAAGGTCTCTCTCAGAAATCGGTATATTTTGTGTTTTTTTCTCAGCTTTGTCAAATCCGACTAAAGATTGATATCTGAAGAAACCAGGAATCTGGTATCAATCAAAAATAGGATGTGAACAGTTTTTTTGTTAAGATTCGTGTGTAAAACAACTTTATAAACATTATACATGAGAAGTTAAGTAATAATCTTATTTGAAAAATACATCACGTTTGACTAAAGTGAAATTATTTGACGAAATAGGCACATTGCTTTATTTAAAAAACATTAAAATAATGAAAAATACTTTTGAAAACTGGTTTCTCCTACTGTCCAACATACAACATGGTACTCAAAAAACTACTTCAGTAAAAACGATTATCAGAAATTGGTGTATAAAAATTTTGTACAGCGTGGTTTTGTTCATATCTGTTTTAAATTTATATTTATATAACAAATATTAGTGTTTCGTGGTGGTTCAGCGGTAAGCTTACGGACTTACGCTAAAATCCGTGATTTGACTCCCCGCGGTGGACAGAGTGAAGATAGCCCGTTATGTAGATTTCTACAAAGAAAACGATAACAACAATTAGTATTAGCTTATATTCGTTGTTATTATAAAGTCGATCTAGTTTAAGCGGGATCATATGTGAAAGTTATATAGTAAATGAGGAAGATTACTAAATTTGTTCCAGCTAACTCATGATTTATTTTTTATTTTGCTTTTCTTCAGGTACGACAGCCTTCTCAGCAGTCTTTGAACGGAGAAGAACTTCAGGCGGAAGAACCTTCCACTCCTGACCCCCTGTCAGTGTTGTTGGGTGATTCCAGATTTATATGTTCTGGTAAGCGTGATGGTTATTATGCTGATGATAGCGTAAACTGCCGAGTGTTCCATTATTGTGTTGGGGGTTCCAAGCACTCCTGGATGTGCCCTGCTGGCACCGTGTTTCACCAAGTGCACTTAAACTGTGTCCCATCAGACCAGGACATTTGCTCTCAATCTGAGAAATACCATGTGGTTAACGATTACCTCTATAAGGTAAAGTTGCGATATCTATATGATCACCAAATGTAAATTAATAATATATTATGTTCGCGAGAAACATCTCTGCTCAACATGGTACTACTTAAGAGAACTCAGCAATACATAGTTTGTATATAATATAATTTACCTCATGTTCCTCATCTCTCTTTGAAATACTTTTAGCTAGTCTATCGAAAGAGGACCAAAGAAAGTGGCATAAATGCTTAAGTTATCATAATTTTAATATACCTATGCATTAATAGAAAACGTCTATTACAACATAAAATAATAGTGAAATGTAATTAATAAATAGTGAGGACGCTCCTCAAATAAGTATTATTAATATTTAACTGAAAAATTAACTGTATCTTTTCCAGCCTCTTGAAGAAAAAGGGCCAAACAATACTGTTCTATATTACAAACGGTATTACCCCGATAACTTCTTATATGGAGGCCAAGCCCCTAAACCCCCTATACCGCAACAAGTAGGCTCTGTTCCCCAAGCAGGGGGTTATCCAGATTATGGTTATGGTGGAGCCCCTGCTCCCGGTTCACAGCTCCAAGTACAACCAACAGCTGAGTTTGCATCTCCTAGAGGGCCACCATCTTATGGACTGCCTCCTCAAGCTCCTCCCCGTAGACCAGCCCCAACTCCACAAAAAGCTCACGGAGTCGAAGCCTACAAACCTCCTTCATCTTCAAACCAATTTCAAAGCTACCCTGAAGCGATTGCAGACTTTTCACAGGCTCCAGATATAAGTGGTGGTTCCAGTGCTGGTACAGCTACACAGAATAGAAATTCTTATGGACCACCACCTGGTGGTAGAGCATCTCAACAGTATGGAGCAATAAAATACGATGATTACTAAAACGTGAAAAAAATCTTCCATCAGCAAAAACTAAGCAACAATTTCAAATCCCTACATAAATTATTTTTATCTGAAGTTTATGCAAAATATAATATATGATGTTCAAATTAATTTCTTAATTTTAAGTTCCTAATTTGTTTTCAAAAACCTTGTTAACCCTAATTTATATAAAATTAAAATTTAGCGAAATATGTTTTTCAAATATTTTTTATTTACTTGTGTATATTTAAGTCAGTTTTCACACTTTTTTAAATATCAATGCTTATTTAAACTTTATTGTTATGGGTAAAAAAACATGTTGTCAGGGAAATAAATTAAATTGCGGGCAGTAGATATTCATTCGGTTTGTATATAGTTGCTTAATGTGAGGAAACAGCATCAAGTTTATTTTCATCCATGCAGCTAAAACGTCTTTAATAATTTTTTTCTGTAAAATGGGAATACTCATTCTTTCTAACATATGAATCCACATTGGGCTTTCACTTTTTCAAAAACTACTGTTGAAGTTATTTGTGACAGACTTAGATTATAAATTAAATTGTTGAATTTCTAAATGTATGTTTCTATGAACACATTTTTACTACAAGAAAATTATATTACTTTTACTTGAAACTTCTGTCATTTCTATATTTTGTATACCAAATAATCTTATCCTCGATGTCCTCCAATATGAAAGTCAAAATTCAACAACATAAGACAATTTTATTCACACTATGTAAGAAAAATAAATATATCATACGATTTCTTCATTAATTACAGTATTGGAATTTTGCTTGTATATAGTGTTAATCAGGTACACTGATGCCCAACAGGAAAGTTATTAGGATCTTCAAATTCAGGAAATGTTTTACAAAGTAAACATTAACAGGAACAGCAAATAAAAGAAAGTAGCAAACACAAGTGAATGAACTATAAACAAAATTTTTATTTTATATATATACCGCGAACCGTTTTATCTGTCCAAGCGTTCGTCTGTCTCCAGTTTGAAAAGCTCGGGAAACCAGGCATGAGTAATGTTGATGCCAAACTTTATTTCGCGAGCAGGATATTCTACACTAAACTGTTAGGAATTAATCACAGTATCATTCACATTTCAAAATGAGAAGTAACTTAAAGAACAAAAATGTAGATTTACCGTATGTTATTGTTGATCGGCTCTTAGCATGACTGAAATGTTCAACAATTACTTTTCGTGATGGGCGGTATAAGTAGCTCAGAGCTTTGGCTCGGAGGGAACCAAGAGTCCAACACAATTAACGTTTTTAAAGTCTAAGAAATCATTTAAATTGATAAAATGAATTAAACTTTTCTGTCACTGGGAACGGGTACTTTTGCTTGTCACAGATAAGTGTCTGATGTTTTACTACACTGCATGGCTTCAATAGTCATTTATCATTACTTCTGACTGATAGATTAAAACTATAGCAAGAATCCTGATATATTGCTTTGTTAAACTACAACTATAGTTTCTAGTGCAATATCCCACAATCCCAATTACCTACAACAGGGATAATTCATGTCACACATATCCAAGACAGATAAACCACAGCTTATACTAATAAAAATCTATACTCAATTCCTCATCTTTATTACCACCTGAACCCCAGGAGAAGTTTATACAGGAATAGGGTCAAACAGGCTTAGATTCCATGAGCAGCTCCTTTATCTATATTTTTTTCTTTGGACAGCATTCGAGAGTCCAGTGTGACAGGAGGATATGAAAGTACTGAGCTCAATAGTCATTAAGATATTGTTATCCACCATAATTGAAAATGCAAAGTCAGTCACTTAATAATGTCATGAGTCGAAAGCTCTTCTGGAGCCAACTTTGGGATTGAAAACTCGACTTATCAAAAGTCAAAAGCTTGGTTACCAATGTAAGGTTTAGAGTCACTACTAATCAAACTATTATTCATTGTTTTCTAGTTCAGCAGGATGTAGTGTACTCAAATTCGATGACGAGGAACCCACTTTGAGACTAATAATGGCTGGAGACGGCTTAAATGGGTAATGAAGAAAAACTTTAATATAAGTTTAACATGACAGCAAATGTACAACGTTTCGACAAGGTTTTGTCATCATCAGTTTAGACCTGATGATGACAAAACCTTGTCGAAACGTTGTACATTTGCTGTCATGTTAAACTTATATTAAAGTTTTTCTTCATTACCCATTTAAGCCGTCTCCAGCCATTATTAGGATGTAGTGTACATTCTACTTCTCACAATGCACTGACTCTTCTATTCCAAGAATGTACTTGTCCCAAACAATTGTGAAT